TCAGAATGTATTTCATGCTAATTTTTCAGTGAACTGTAATTGTATTAATTTTTTATATTTTTAGAAGCTTGAAAAAGATCTCCACAAAGTTGTTGTGAGTCAAGTTGATATACAGATCTGTGTCAGTCTCATAAAACTTTGTCAAGGGTGAGATATGTGTTTTGTTTTGGTTTTTTTACAGTAAGTACAATATGTCGGTACTTGGTGTTGCTAGCAGGCCTACGAAATATCCAAAGCGTACTCTGATGGGCAAAAAAGGCTCTCAGAAGGTTCATGTGCCAAGTTTGGTTGTCAAGTGAGAATTTGACTAGACTGGAAACTGGGATGCTTTGTAGCATTGAAACGTGTGTGCACGTTCCCACGTTGGCAAGTTGTTAAGTCAAGAGTGAAAGGTCGTTTATTATTTTGTCTCTGTAGTAAACTAACTTACAACGCTCTCATCATGACAGAAAGAGACACCAATGATAAAATCCCGACTGTGTTGAAGTCAGTGGGGAAACTTCCATGCGTAACTGGTGGCGGCGGGAGTAGTCCCAGCCCGGGTCCTCTGCCTCAGAGCCTGCTGGGATAGAAAACAGTTATCACGATTTACTCTAAAGCCTGCTGCTTCTCTGCGTCACCCCCTACGAGAGCCTCTTGTTTTCAGTGGCAGGAGAGGGAGCCTGCGGTGATGACTTTTCTTAATTTACCGAACAGCCTAAGGTAGGCTGAGTACATAACGATAGCTGGGGGAAATACCCCGTTGCCCCTTTTCTTCCTGTGTGCGTGGTTATTTAATATGCAAATTAGAGAAAGGAATTAGATGAGCTTTTAAACCATAAGAAGTTGTGCATGGTGCGTTTACCGCGGATTCATGTGCAATTACCACATGGCTGGTTCCTGTACATTTGTCACATTTAATTTGCTTTCTCCGTATGTGTGTGCATGCCTCCTGGAAGGCTGGTCTCTTAAACATACTTTTTATCTTATCAAGGGGAAAATACTGACTTCATTATCAAAGAGCAAACCAGTCACAGAAGAGTTTTCCACTTTCCTGTGCTGTATGAATAAGGAGTCTTCAAACTGCTGTTAAATATTACTCAAGTGAACAGAAAAGAAAGCCGAGGAAGCAAGAGAATTCCAAAACGGAAATTCAGAAACCTGCTTTCTAACTTGCCTGTTGTGTAAATAAGCTGGGCTGTGTGCTGGGCTCAGCTGGACAGGCTTGGACCTGCTGCAGAGCCCCTGGGAGGAATCCCAGCTGGAGGGACTCCCAGGGACTTGCGAGGGCTTCTGATGTCCGCTCACAGGTTTTGCTTTGGCTGTAGGAAACCGAGCCACGTGTCCTTCACTGGCGGCATCAGGGAACTTATAGACACCATTAGAACCAGTTTGAGACACATCCCTTTTCTGGGAGAACCTGTATAGCGAGGCGTGGATTGCATGTGGCAACCTTGTACCTGTTTGCTCTCCATCAGCTCTTGCTCTAGATGTTCTCAAAAAGGCTCCTAAAGGATGTTGTTCATTGGTCATTTTAGCTAGTCTAGAAGCTTTGTAATGGGGTTTAAACATGTACTTACATTTCCTAATAGCAAAGTAACTTGGTGGTGTAGTAACAATGTGTGTACTTTTCTGAATTTTTGTTATCCTATGTGACTGGTGGAACATTTAAGAAGTCATCAGAATTACAGTGCTAGTAAGGTCTACCTTTGAGTTTAGTCATTACAGAGTAGTATATAGTTGTCTGTCTTATTTGCTCAGTCTTCTAAACCACACATATTGTGGTAAGAACTTTTCGGTAACAAATGCAATAAAATAACCTTTTCCCCTTATATACATGTACTGTCTCACAAAATACAGACAGCTTTAGCCATTGATAAAACATCAAAGTACTAGGAACAGCATTACCTTTGAGTTTACTTTCAAAAATATCTTTGAGACAAACTCTGTTATTTACTAGGGTTTTATATATCTCAGTAGTGTCCGACCATTTTTTCCTCGTGCTTGGAAATCTTAATCTCACGACATCAATCGTGAAAGTCACAAAGCAAGAGTACGTGTGACCTGACAAGTGAGCCCAGCCCTCCTGGGGTGGTCTGGTTGAGAGAACTCTTCCCATCTTCCTTTGCTCATGCGGCAGGGCCATGACAAGAGTTTAAGTGTCACTAAAATAAAAAATTAATGTTAAATATTAATCATATGATTATTTATGATATTATATGATTATCTATGATATTTGGTAGCCTATGTTAGACCTGCTATTAAGGAGCCTGGAGGAATCATCCTCACCCTTAGAGATGTTCGGTTAAGGAGTGGGGTCTAATAGGGCCAAACCCTGGCAGTTCCAAGCCGCTGCTCTCAGTGGGCTCCTCTGGAAGAAGAGACTGAGGTGGATGTGGCAGATATTCCACAAAGACCCCAGAATGTCCATGCGGTGAAGTGGAGATGGACATACCGTGGTCACAACCAGACAACTAGCGCCATGGGTTTGAGGGCAGGGCCCATCTCTGCTTCTTTCAGCAAAGTGCTGCTAGATCTAGGCTGGCTTCATAGTCCTCTGCGTTTACAGCCAATGAGGCGTGAATTTGGTTGCTTTTATTTGGAAGACAGTCTAGAAATTAAGAGTGTTTTTAAAGGATATAATATAGCTCAAACCCAAAAATGTTCTTTTATGTGCCAAAACAAGATCAACAATTTTTGATCAACGTTGTACTGGCTAAATCATTAGTGAAATGATGTTGTACTGACACAGTTAATCCTTACTTTTTCTTTAAAAGCCACTTGATTTTTTGCAGGTTGCACTATAAATTGTTCTTAAAGGGTTTACTCTTCATCATATAAGTTAGTTTTTAAATTAAATCTCTTTAATCAAAATGCTCAGGGGCTCAATTAAGTAGATCCAACACAGAGGCTATTGTAAGTGATTCAGATGGGTACTCTGGAACACGTGCAGAACATTTGAGAATCACTGAACTTGTTTAAGCAGCTGACATAGTAGAAACTAAAACTGGTGAGTTTTGCTCTTTGCTTTCTTTAGACTAGTTTCAACTAGGATTAAAACACTGGGAATGGAAAAGAAAATTTTCCAGTTCCTTGCAAAGTTCAGTTAGCTGGACCTGACAACACCACCAGGAAAAAAACATAGATGCTCTTGATTATATACAAACTTGCAGATGAATTGTGCTCCCCCCCACCGCTTTTTGTCCCCCTCCAGGCATTTAAAATATCTTGAAAGGCTGCTCTACCTTCTGGAAAACTGAGAAGAAATTCTGCTAAGAGTTAATTTGGCTCATTTCATATTTCCTCTTCAGCATTTGTCTTCCATTGATTTTTTTTTTTTTTTTTTTATCACTAGGTATATTTGCATGACAATAGGATCTTTCTTGCTTAAGAGATCATCTGCTCCTGCTGCTAATTTCCTACCTGAAGTTGTAATCTTCTGTTTGTGACATCTTAATTATCTCAAACACAATTAAGTGTGATGTCACAAATGGAGGATTATGACTTTAGGTTGGAAATGAGATTGAGAAATGGAAGGAATTTGAAGAAGCAAAGAGGCCTTTCTTCTTGAAAAGTGGAAGAGCAGACAAAATAATTTTGGTTAAATGGAGGCAGTCCTCCATCAGCTTCCTTCTTACAGTCGTGGAACAGATGTTTCTAATTCTTACTGTTATAGGAGGCCCTGTTGTATTGAGACACTGTGGAGGGGGAGAAGGGGGCAAGGATTTCATTGGGGAGGAGGTGGAATCTTCCCTTGAACAGTCACCCGCTGCAGCAAGAGGGAAATCGAGGTCAGTGGACCCCAGAGAGGTCCCGGCTCTGCTCGCAGAGAGCAGAATGCAGGGTTGGTATGGCTGCAGTTGGTTTCAAGGCCAATCCATTTATTGCACTTCATATCTTGCAATATTCATTTGAGTTTAGACATCCGAGTTTGAAGACCAAATTTCCAGAAAAGCGTTTTTTGAGGGGTGGAGGGAATTCCAAAGGCTTAAGGAGAAATTATGTTCAGCATTCTGAAAATATACAAAGTGAAAGCTTTGTGCTACCCTAGTCCACTATGGCTTTAATTTATTCTATGGACTTGTCATATTTCACTTCTTGGTATGCCACTTATCCATTTGTATCCTTCTGCTTTTCTTCTGGAAACGTGTTGTTTCCACGGAGATGCTGGATGGCCTGCTTGTGTTTTTATGAGGACATTATTAAGGCTGTTTATATACTTAGAGCATGATTTACCAAATGGGAATACTCATCTACAGCTACTATCACTTCACACAAGAGTGTTTACACAGATTGTGCATAAACACTGGGACCAAGTCATGAATGAAAGAGGGAAAACCCCAAAGTTAACAAAAAGTGAAGCATCTTATTTTAACACCTTTACTGACATTAGGGAGAGGGCAAAGATTGCAAAGTAGAGGGGTGAAAGTGGAGAACGGAACAAAGATTAGCCCTGCGGTTTTAGGAAAGTACAGTGTCCTTCAGAAAAGTGTGCACCCATCCTTAGGTATAAATGGAAGTGACCCTCAGTGGAGGCACACCAGTCAGTCTGCACTTGCTGGGACCCAGATTCTTCCATATCCATGTGTCAAATCCATTGTAATAGTTGGATGTGTACCAGCTACTGTGCTATTGCGAAACGGGCCGTTTTCTGGGGTCTTTTGGAAAACACTGTAAAACCAGGCATTTGACCATCTGATTAACACAGAAAAAAGGTAGGAGAAATCAGCTGTTAAGATTTTGCACTCAAACACATTGCTGTAAGTCTGCAAAAGCTCTGCAGGCAACAACAGACCCACTGTGATAATCTGACAACAGAAAGTGGACCCTCACGTCGTGATGCGAAGCTCATTTGCGGCACCGAGTTTACCTTGTAGGCAAGTTGGTTTGAAGTTAAATCAGGATGCCTTCAGAGAGGCATAATGGCAAAAAGTGGAAATAAAATGGGCGGGGGGGGGAAGCCACACACTGAGAAATGGTTATATCTGCCAACGCTTTTTTCTTTTTTTCTTTTTTCAAAGGCAAAAGCAGTTATGGCAAAAGTGGGTTACCCTCAGTTTGTAATGAATGACACATATATTAATGAAGACATCAAAACAGTAAGTGTCAGACTTGCAGCTTTCTTCTTTTACATATTGCAGCCATTCTTTGCTCTGTTTCGCTGCTGTCTAAAATCAAAGCTCCTCTTTTGTTTGGCACGCATCTGGAGTTCTGCTTGCCTGGTTATTTTTAGATGTTGAATTAAGTATGCTAGCTCTCATGTCTAAATTGTCAATGCCGGTGTGGCTAAGCGAGATGACCATGAGGCCTGCTGGGAGTAAAATATTCCTGGGTGCCAAGAACCTTCCTGCTATTAAGGATTTTAAAGGTTAAACATACACTGTCATTGCATTTAGTTATAAAAATGAAACAAAACAAAAGCATTTCTCCTCAAGGTAATGGTCTTCAAAAATACGAATGCGTTTTTCCTCAGAATATCACAATTTATGATGCCCTATATAGGCTCTCCTCATCTCTCCAGGCTATGAATTTTATTTATGATTGTTGCTTATAATCATGTATAACCAATGTATAGGCCTACTGTGCCGGCTGCTGGACAAGGATACTGGGGGGGGACGCCTTCCTGACCCAGTATCTGTTCAGCCTAACTAAGGCAGGAAGGCAGATGATGAAGAATAATAGATTTTACCATTTTCCAAAGGGTGGCATGCATGTGATGAATTGTATTACTGAAAGTCACAGCACAGGCAAAGTACAACCACAAATTCAATCCTGAACCGGTAAAATACAAGAGTGATAGTCATCTTTGCCAGGGAACATGAACAAACACTAAACATATGCTTAATTTCTTGGGAAAACTTTGAAGAACCAACTCTGCCGGCCTAGTCCTTGTTCCTGGAACGAGTAGGACGCGATGGTGCTGTGAAGGCAGTGTAATGAAATGGAGGATGTAACCAACTTTATCACTCAGCATATGGAATTATTTGTCCAGATAAGTTGCAATGTCTAGAGAAAAATGTTTGCTAATCACAGTTGCAAAACCGTAGTTTACGTCTGAAGTGCAACTCCCTCACAAGTCTTAGGATTGCTTGAAACTGGCGACAGGGATATCATCTGGAGTTATAAAACATTAACTTTTTTTTGCATGGTTAGTTGCTGTTAGATTTGGAGGCTTATGGAAGCGTGGAGCCCTATGTCTGTAAACATTTAATGTGAGAAACAGTAAGAAAGCAGCAGCAGAACCCTTGTAGGGCACATAGCATGAAGTATTTGTAATAAAATGCAAAACAAACTGAAAAGGGAGGGCTTTGTTATGTTTTTGAAAGTGGTTTTGAAATGCACTTCTAAAAATAAAAGTAGACCTATTTCCTTCTGGAAAAGAGGCTGTCTTAATCACAGCCATAGGAACGTGCAGTCTGCAATTCTTCCCTGGGTACTTCAGATTTCCTCAGCTCCTCTCTGCGCAGGGAAGAGCTTTTCCCACGTTCCAGTCCCTTGCGTAGATCTGTCCAGCCACTGTTTTTTAACTAAGCTCACAAAATACTTGTTCTTCCTACCAAGTGTGAAAATTTTACTTGCTTTGATAATGGCTAAGAAATTAGGTGGTTATCTTGTTAAAATAAAAGTTCTGATTGTTTTATGTCATCTTCTGTTTCCTTGGACATGCTTTAAAAATATCTGTGCTTTGTCCGTACAGCTGAAGTTTACAGAAAGTGACTATTTTGGGAACGTGTTGCAAACTCGCAAATACACAGCCCAGTCTGATTTCTACTGGCTTAGAAAAGAAGTTCCAAAAACAGAGTGAGTAGACCAAAGGGAAACACGCACAATGTTCTAAGAATATTTTAATTTCTATTATTTACTTTATACAATTTATGTTTTAATAGAATTATATACACAGCTATGTATTATGATACAAAAAGCCTATGGGCAAACCCCCCATTTATTCAGAAACTCCTGCGGATATTTTTTTTGTAAGTGCTAGGTATCCCTGTTCTAATGCACAGTAGTCATATGCTTGCAGCTTAAACTTAGTTTAATGAAAAAAGGGGTAATTGAATCGCAATTAAAAATGGATTATGTCTCTTGGTCACAGTTAGAATTTGGAATGGTACGGCAGGGATTTATGAAATAATTTTTCTAAGAATGGAACCATTAGTAAGAGATAATGTTATTATTAGTAATAGCAATCAGCATTGTTAGTTACCTGCCGTTGATAGCAATGATATGGAATAAAACATAATTTAATTTACATAGATTATTTTTATTAATTTGTAAACACGAGAGTGCAGATTGTGTCACATACTGTCATAAAATACATGAGAGAATCAGTCTCTTTTCTTACTGGTGGGTAATCAAATCCTTAAAATGCAAATTAAAACCTAAACAGAACTTAATTAGCCTAATCATGCTACTTAAAAATGACTCCTTCTTCGCAGTGACTTTGAAATCAGTGCTGCTGCTTGGCTCCTGTGATGGTATTTCCTTAGGGCTCCAGAAATTCCTACTCAAGCGGCACCGTACCTTGTTTCGGGGGTAGCTCTGTGCTGCCCGTGGGGCAGGTAGAGGCTGTCGGCAGGACAAGCACAGGCTCTTCCTCACTGGAGTGTTGTGATTTGGCCCCATATTTTCGAGGGGTTGTTTATAGCTTAATTTTAATTGTGAATTTTACCTTCCTGTCCCACCTTTCTCTGACATTGCGATGGTTAATCTCAGGGGATGTTTTTACGGGCTTTCCCGCAGCCCTGGCTGCCAGGGCTAGATCGCGACAGCGTGTTCTCTTCAGACCAACAGCTTCCATGCGAGCAGGGAAATAACGCTTGCCTCTCCATAGCAATGGTGATTAGCAGCCTCCTCCTCATCTCCAGCATCGGGGCAGCACTAACGCAGAGCACGTAGGTTCTTGGCACGACGGGAAAATCGCCCCTGTAAGGAAATTAATCGGCAGGTAATACTGTCTGTACACTTCAAGGGCTGTGGCCTGAGAACTGTCGCATAGGCATGCTTAAAAAAATGAAGTTTTTACCCAATTGCCCACTACAAGGTGGAACACTTTCTCATGCTTGCCTTTACCACCTTATTTCAAGGAGCAGTTAACAGCAGCCCCCTCATCACCTTTGTCTTGCTTTTCTTGTCATCCCGCGAGGCACACCCTGGCCCGGAGGATCCCGGTTTGATTTTGGGTCTCTCACCTTTGCCAGCACAGCGATATGCTCTGCCTTCTGCGGGGCTGGGGGTAATCCCCCCGGATTACCACTGGGAGATTATTCTGCCTTTGCACCTGCTTGGTGATGGAGAAGGGCTCTGAAAGCAGTGTCACGCTGTCCGCTTTTGCTGTGTCTGCTGAGGGGTACCAAGGCACAGAGAGTCATTGCCACCTCCAGTAATTTTTTTTTTTATTTTACAAATTAATAATTTATTTACAATAAATTTAATTTATTGTAAATAACCATTAACGCCCACCCACCAGTCTGAGGCATGTCAAATCTGGCCTTAAAAAATATCTGCACTTGCCACATTTTAACTATTGGACTCTACTGCTTTCTGATGCTTTTACTTCTCTTTTTTCTTTCTTTTCTTTTTCTGTTTTTGTTTCTTTAAGCTTTTATATTTCATAGAAGTCCACAGATCTTTGGTCTACACTGAAGCTTGGCACTGTGTTAGTAGAGAATTACTCTTGGGGTTTTGTTTCTGTTTGCTTCATTTCTTCTTTTCCCTAGTTCGGTAGCTTTTAGCATAGCATTTATATTTAGAGATAGACATTATAAGATGGTCCAAGTTGTGGACTGAAAAAGATAAATAAGAAAATGAGTGTTTAAGGAGATAGGTTACTAGCTCGTAAAATTACCTCCAAAAGGTAAAATGCTATATTCATTTAGCAGACAGTGCAGATTTTTCAGCAATATTATTTCAAACTGGACTCACTTTCCTCAGCGTAGTTAACTGAACAGAAAATCAAAATAATGGCTTACTCAAAGCACCAGGGAAACACCAGCAGGGCACAGACAGAGGAGCTGGAAGTTTGACAAAGGAGTTTGATAAAGCAAGGGGGAACATGGATATCGAAGGGGAAATAAGTTATTTGGGAAATTCAACAGTTTTGAAGTCTAAAAAGAGGAAAAAAGTCCCCCAAAGCAGGAGTAGTTATCAAGATCTTTGTCCTCTCTTCTGGTCCCTCCCTCTGTAGCAGTTATCTGCCTTACGGGAAAAAGGAGCACGGAGCGAGTCAGGCATTGCTCAGGGCATGGATGGGGAGAGGTACCCGGCCCAGCTGGTGCCAAGACGAGGGGATGTACCCAACTGGTACCCAGAGGATGTGACAAGGCGTTGGGGTGTCTTCACCCCAACTTGCTGTCCTCAGCACCCGCTTTGGATGCCAGCTGCAATCCTAACAGCTGGCTGGGGAGATGGCTGTCGTCTTCACAGCTGGCTCTATCGACCGAGAAGAAGTGCTCGGGTGTCAGGAGGGAGACGTACGCGAGGGATTTGTGGCAGGAGCTGAGGAGCGTGGTGCACGAAACGGCGCGGGTGGGATCGAGGGGGCTGGATGGAGAAGGTGGGGCTGGGAGGGTGAGCGTGGGAGGAAGGGGACCAGGCGTGAAGACAATTATAATAACCCAGGTGAGAGATGACTAGGGCAGAGGGAGGCGAAAGGCAGCGTGTGGGGAAGTGATAGCCATGTGGAAGGGAGAGATAAAGGAGAATCAGGGTTTTAGTGGCGTTTGCTTATTCATCCACGGAGTCATATACATTCATACATACAAATATGCATACACATGTGTATGTACACATAAACACACGCCCGCAACTTTTTAACAGTGATTGAATCTATCCTTCTTAACCCTGATATCACACTTGCAAGTAGCAAGGCACCAGAGGACTTCTTGGGCGTACCACTTCATTATTATTAATCTTTCTCCTTCGAAATCAGGAGACCTCCTCTAAGATTTTTAGACCTGGGCAAATCTCTCTTCACTTTTCGCTCAACTCTCAGTGCTGGAGATGCAGGCGTCTAGTATCCCTATAAGAGGATGCAGAGGAGATGTACTACGAGAAGATTCCCGGGTCTCCTCCAGGACCTATTACAGTTTCTTGACCACACACTGTTGTTCATAAGCCCTGGCTTTTGGTTTGCCGCAGGGGAGGGCAGCTCTGAGAGGTTGGATGCCATTAAGGACAGTGTAAAAACTCCTTCTGCAAACAGGGAAAAGCAGCTGTGAAAGACACCGGGCAGGCTGTGGTTTGTTGGAGAGACGCTGCTGGAGAGCTCAGAAATCCTGTGGGTGGACCTGTCCTGGAGAGGAGAGGCTGGGAAGGAGCCTCCTGGAGCCTTCTCCTGGTCTTTGAAACTCGTTTTAAGCAGCGATGTGGCACTGGGGGCTGGGCACAGCCTTACCGTCCCAATTTCTTGCCCAGCCCCAGGGGACACAGATGGCAGCCTGACCTGGGAGGCTAATCCTCTGTTTTCTACACGAGAAAATGTATAAAACGGACTAACAATGAGAATAGGAAATACTCTTTGGAAAGTCACCCTGAAGATTGCCTCCTCTTAGAAGTTTTTCTTTATAGTCCTTTCTTGGGAAGAGATTTTCCAGATTCCAGCTTCATTAGCAGGTTTGTACAGCCTTTCACTTCTAACCAGCTTAAGTGCGTTTTACATTCACAAGTTCATTTTCTTATATGTTTTTTTTTTTAAGTTCTTACTTGCAATGTTGAACACCAAATTCTGCTCCACCTGAGTGATTTCTTCTAACTCAAAAAGTTGAGAGAACAAATTGCAAATTCAGTTTGTGCTTTACAGAGAATTAAATTAATTCATAAGTTTTCCCTGTATTGCGAATGTTCCAGTCGCCCCTCTTCATGACTGGCAATGCAGCACACTATACTCTTAACTCAGAAAGGAAGATATCATGGAGAAAACTGTAGCCTAAAGAAACACAGACCTAAGAGAGTGTCTGCCCCACTTGCCATCTCAGTGCAGGTTTCAGATTTTATTTCTACAAGGGACATCTCAAACATACAAGTGTCAAGTCTGCAGCATTGGGTTTTGGCTGCTGCAGGGGTTGGTAGGTAATGTTACAGGACATCATTCAAAGCCGTCCCTTTTCCACATGCTAATAGCAAATGGAAACAGTGTAAACAATTCTGGATTTTTTTTTATTTATTTAGTTTGTAATTAGTAAGAGCTTAGAGTTTGTTATGCCTGTCTTTTTTTTTTTTTTTTTCTATCCTTCTGCTAACAGATCAAATGCACTGAAATTCTAACCAGACCTAGAGCAAATGCCCAGGCAACCTGACTTCAAACAGGAATGACACCTATTTCAAATTTTGCTTTGCCTTAAAATTTATCAGCAACAGCTATTTATTACAGACCTTCATATAGTAATTTGATGTGTTATTAGTTAAGGTCTGTCACTGAAGGTTCAGTCATTTCCAGGAGCTTACTGAAAGAGGATGACATATGAGAGGTGAAGTTCTGCTAGTCTGAATGGAAGCAGTCTCGGTTATTTCTGCTCTTTTGAGGAAAATGCTTCCTAAATCTTTCTGCGAGTGGCTCAGAACGGTACAACAAAATGCTGGAGTGTAAATATGCTCCTTGCCGAGTGTCTGAACATCAAGTATGAAATTCGGCAGTATACTCTGATTGTCACTAGAGAACTCTTGTTCTTCCTGACTCCTCGGTACAGCTGCTAAGTCTCCTCTTCCTAGCTGCTTAAAAACGTAACAAACGCCATATGGGGTCATTCTTGAGGGCTCATTATGAAAGAGCGACTTGGAAGTAGCTCAGTTCAGTTTTACAGGGAGGAAATCGAGGCTGCTCTCCGTCTTTGGCTCAGCCTGAGCTCAGGAAACGGGACGGGCGCTGTTATTGCGGTGGGAGGTGGTGAGGGAAGAAGCCGCCTCCGGATGGGGATGTTGTGATGAGCCTTAGCAGCTGGTCTATGAGCTACGAGTCTAGGAGCTCACGGGTACAAAAGCACGGCCTTTGGCTGCGGCAGCGGAGAGGACGGGGAGAAGCGCAAAGCACATTAGTCTGTTCTGAAGTAGCTGTTATCTGTCTCAGGCCCTTGATCCTGTGACTAGAAATGAGAGGCCCTGTAAGACACTCTCTCTAAGAAGGATTTGCGAGAAGGGAGGATTTGTTGTCCTGGAAGCCTTTTTCATGCTTAAAAGTTGCTGTTTGGGAGAACAGAAAGGCTGCTGTAAGTAGAACAAGCCAACAGGGTGAGGTGGAAGTCACAACGCTGTGTGTCTTTGTTCAAACTTACAGTAACATCGAAATTAAAGTCTTGAGTGTTTCGGATGGGTCCCTTTCAGGTGGGTCGTCTCCTTGTCAAAAAAGGGACAGAGTCCTCCAGAGCTACTGCTAAGCCTGGAGAGCAAGTGGCTGGCTTGCATCCTTCAAAACAGTTTGACTGATTGCTGCTGTGAACAAACATGACATTGAAATGTAGTTAATTAAGCCCCCTAATTTTTTCTTTATCCCCTCACTGTAAGCACTCTTTCTCCTATTTTCCATTATCTCACTACATTACCTTTAAAATTTAATTTCTTTATTATAGAGGAAACAGAAAACACCAGAAAGCAACCTCCCCCTGCTCCTCCCCTTCAGAATCTCCCAGTAAACAAACCCGGCAGAGTTATCTATGGCAATTAGAGCCCATAGTGCAATGGATGGCGAAGATATTTACATGACATCACCCTGTGCTTTCCTTGGTTAGTTTTTCTAATTGCTGCATTGTAGAATAAGCTGCTCAGCTTTGAAGATGAGAGAAGCAGATAAATTTATTGATAAAAGACAGAACGCTGCCATTCGAAAACTCTCCCCTTTGTTGCATGGTTTATGTGAGGACATCAGTCGCCAGAAAAACAGTCAGGATCTGCAGATAACTCATTCATTTGATGGTGCTATTTTAAAGCACAGATAGTGTATGCGAACGTCACTGACACGCATCACACATTTTCCATGTTCTGATAGATCTTCCTTTGTCTTACTCTTTGTTTTGCAGCTCCCGTCTCTCCTCTTTGAAAGAAATTTTCCAAAGCAATTGCATTGCGTTCATTTGGCTTTACAAAATTTCTGAGTGATGCATTGCTAAAGACATCAGGATGTTCCTGTTTGGACATTTACTAGAGTTGCTTCTAATTTATTATGAATTAAATACTAATTTTCATCATCTTTATTACTTTTCTTTTATCTCTGTTCTTCCTTATAAAATCATAAAGTGAAAACTTGGACTTGCTGAACTCAGAGTTTCATCAGAGGGGATTTGGATCTTGCTGAAGCCAGTGGAGATTTTCCACGCACATGGGTGAAACCACTGTCAATATAGATGAGCTTAGGCTAAGGAGATTCATAAATCCTATTTGCTATTCAAATCTAGGTTTCCCTCCAGTATGTATGAGAAATCTATGAGAAGAAATACTAATATTCCTTTTTAAATTTGTTTTGCCTTGCAAGAGGTCTGTTTGTTTATGAGCACACTGATGGCCACGTTCATTGTGTAGGCTACAGAATGTGAAGCTGTTTATTTTGAATTTAGGTTCCCAGAAAGCACCTGCCCATGTTGCTGGCATCATCCTAGTTGTTCAAGTAGTCGTTCAGCAGAGCATCTGAAGCCACTTCACTCGTTTCAAAATGCTCTCCTCTCATTTCAAGAGGGATTTTCTCCACACGTGGTTGAAAGACACCTAAGAGAGTTTTCACAGCTGTGTCAGTGCTGCAGCCTCTGTGGGGTGAACTTCACTTTGTCAGCACGACAGACCTCACGAGCACAACGGTCACTTAGAAATAAAAGAGATGAGCTAACAGAAACCTTAACAATCGCTCCTGCTGAACATTCGTTGACTGTATGCACTTAAAATAAAGCTGTTAAACAACAGATTTCAGTGTTCTGGAAAGCGTAGGCAGCATGTGTTGAAATGGAGAAATATTTAATGTATCCTAGGTCTTTAACATTTGTGCTTCCTTCCACTGCGTTCACTTTTTGTCTTTGCTCATTCTATTCATAAAGATGTGTAAGTGTACTGACAGCCGCTCTCTTTTGCTCTTACTACAGGTGGTTTACAAGCCCAACTACTGTAAATGCTTTTTATAGCGCATCTACCAACCAGATCAGTGAGTATCTGACTTCTGAGCCTCCTTATAAAGTGCCTGTTTGGGAAATGTATGTATCGAGCTTCAGATAATATCTGTACAGTTTGTGCGTTTGTGGCTGAAAATCAAAAGCTCAAACCTGGTAATCCAGCCGTGAGATGTCTTAAGTGAGAGGACAGTTCTGGAAAACCAAGCGCTCCCACAAATTTGGATTACTGGTGCTTAATGAGTTACCCTGTGTCAGCTGAGTTGCAGTGACTGCTTGTGTGTGTACTCTGCCTTTGCAAATGTCAGCTAAACCACTTTTATTAAAGCTTTATGTTTCTGTCTCCTGTTTTCTGTAGCAAAACCCTGTGTACACATACCTCCATAAATATACAGTAACTCTTTAAGTGGTAGCAACTCAGTCCTCTAGCATTTATAAATATTTAGCAATGAATGTGACTAGAGTAGACTGTGATACAGACCAGAAAACCTAAGAAGTGGTGTCCAGTGGATTTGTTCAATACCTTCAAGGACAAGGAGTGGTACCTGTAGTTAACTTAAAATTCTTACCTGTATAGTTTGATGAACTACCTGTCTTATGCTAATTTTAGTTACTGGTTGTTTTTAGAGAGCATAAATCCTGGTTTGGAAGCATGTGAAGTTAAAGAGCTGAGTCTTTCTAAAGATGTGTATAGAATTGGATGTTCATTTCCATTTGCTTTAATGGGACTTTGCGTAGAAAATTTCTCACTGGCTTTAAAAATCCATACCAGCGTTTCTGCATACAACAGTGTGATCTTTACCCTAACACGTCTCTTCGCTCTTATTAGCTTCGCAAGTTAAATCAGCCTTCTTTTTCTGTGCCCTCAGGGTCTGGAAGGTGGCTGCCATAACCTCTGTGGTCTCAGTCCTCAAGGCCAGGCGTGTCAAAAATCCCCGAGTGACTCCCCCTTTTTCTCCTGAATCTCTTTTGGTCACAGAGAGAAGCAGGTTTTGAAAGGCACAAAATGAATGTATCACACCAAAGAGGTTACAGCAGAGGACTGGCAGTCTGGGTCTGCTGGTATCTGTTCTACCGATTTCTGTAAACAGTTTTTGCCTTCAAACCACTCAAATTCTTTTCTATTTAAGTGAGCTCATTTGTAAAGTCGTGTGTGATAATTAGGCAGTTCTTTTGTTTAAAATTAGTTCTAGGCCTAGACAGCTGTCCCTTAATTAGAGGGCTGCCATCATTAAGCATTTTCGACATTTCTGTTGACCATCTGAGGGAGCGGTGAAGACAGACTGCCCCGAGCCCGTCCCGGCGCTGAGGTACCTGTGGAGCCGCTCTGCTGCTGAACTCGGCACCGGCCACCGCTGCTGCTTAACGAAACAAGAACCATCGCAGTTATGTGTTCTTTAATATCGGGTCCTTTCAAGTTTCAGGGGCATCCAGCTCTCGGCCTCTCTGCCGTGGCACGTTAGAGAAAGCTCTACCGAGAGGCTGGAGTCACTGAAGCTAAATTTCACACTGGCTGTGTCTAACGGTGTCACGAAGCAGAGAGCTGTCAGACGTAAATAATCAGTCATGGGTGTAAAGGCAATTGTATTTTCTATCATAACGGCTGACCTTCTTGTGCTGCTGGCATCTGACCTTGAAGTTCGGGTAGTGCTGCTCACTGTCCTTTTAGGGCTGTTCCTAAGAGGAACAGGATTTAGGTGGCTCTTTCTGAACCTCTCCTACCTGAGAGAGAGGTAGAAACGTAATCATGCCCTAAAAACGATGCGCAATAGGAGGGAAGATTCAAAGAAAGGCACAGTGCAAACAGCCTTCCACTGCTGGCTGGCGTGATTTGCAGGGGAAGAGGCCCCACGAGGTGTGGGAGGAACACGTTCAGGTCCAAAGTTGCTGATAGAAATATTGGACACATCACTACTGAGTTCCCATTAATGCTGCAGGGAGATCTGCCCTGCGGGAGGCTGAAGCCTGCGAGCCTATGTGTACTCCTACTGTGTGATGTGTCTGCTGCGCAAATCTGTGCCCCACAGTTGTTACCTTACTGCTTTGCAGCCGTTTTCAGTAGTTATCCATACAAAGTTCTGTAGGGGCTGGTGATACACCACAAAAACTGTGGCCTTTTTAAAGGCCTAGTTAAACAACAGAAAAAAAGTTCTACAAACGAGAGTTATTTGAGAATAAGAAATAAGCATGAACTCCAGCAAGTTAAATGTAAAGTTGTGATATAGCAAGCCCACAAAGATTTTGAGGGCCAACTTTCTGAGAGCATAAGAACTAATAATAAAACCTTTTTTCGAATACACCGAAAGAGGAGAGTCTCTAAGGCATAAAAATAAGATGATTCTTTGCATTGGAAGAGTTTGGGAAGTTCTTATCCTGGAGCTTTTTCTTATGGGAGGTAAGCCCCAGGAAGTCTTTCAAATTTAGTGTCAACAGAAGGTACTTTAGAAGAAATTCATAAAATGAACTGTGACAAATATAAGGACCAGATAATATTCTCCCAGGTATTTCAAAGGAGCTTAGACAAGAAATTGCCAAACAACCAGCTTTGACATATAGCTTATCACTTATAGTGGCCTTAGCACAGGAAGAATAGGTGTGGCAAGTGTCAGATCCTTTTTTTTTTTTTAAAAAGAGAATCCAGAGGGATCTGCATAAAAAGTCATTCTAGCCCCTGTGTGAAGGAAACTGTTCATGACCACAACATGAATGAATAAGAGATAAAGAATAAGCATATGATATAATGGGGAAGAGTCAACGTGACTTGGCTTTTGCTTTTTCTTTTAGAAGAAAATCATGCTTTCTTAGCCTGTTAGATTTTTTTTGAAATTCAGAAGCGAGTAAGTATGCTTGATATACTATATTCATTTCCGTAGAACACTTTTGATGAGTTTCTTTCCCAATGCTGTTAACTGGAAGTTGTCATGGGACAAGACAGAAGGTTCTTTCATAAATTAATGACTGATTAGAGATAAGAAAAGGAGGTAGGAACAAATGGCTTGTTTTCAAAATAGTGGGAGGAGTGTGTTATGAGGATCTGTGCTGGTCACTGTATTAGCAGATGATCTGGAAAAGAGGGTGTTCTGTTCTGAACAAAAGAACAGACAGATAGAAACTCAGTCCGGGAGGACAGGTCCCTCTGCTACTGATTGCTGGAAGGTAGAAAGATGTACTAATAGAAGAATTACCTCACAGATAGGTGCCCGATGCTCTTTCCCTACACATCTACTACTGATTACTGCTGGAAATCGGAGAATGAACCAGACAGGCTCTTCATCTGCTTGAGTGCCCCTGCTCTTCAGTGAGCAAACTGGGTTTTAGTGTGTTCAAGGCCCATCTATTTTTGCTTTTGCTAAATGAGTTTACTAAGAAGGAGAATTTAAGAAATGATAATTTTAAAATGCATAATAGAAATTGCTTCTGGAAAGCAGCCTCTACATTAACAGGAAAATACTTAGTTCCAAAGTTGATTCTAAAAATTAAGACCGCTCAGATTGGAAATGGAAATGTACTGTGTGATGTTATCAGCATAACCACAGCAACCCCAAACTTGATTAGTCACTGAAGGCTTCATGAAAGACTTTAGAGTAAAAGGAACATCAGTGCCTTGAACCATGGTTTCTGAAAAGCAGCCATGATCAGATACCTGCAGAAGTGGGGGAGAACTTGAAGGTCCTGATCACTTCTGAAATTTAGGAAGATGCTTTTGCTTTCTGTGCTCAGAGCACAGGGAGGTCTCTGGCACACTCCTGATGGAAGGATTACAAATTCTTCTGTCTCCGTAGCCTGTATCACTGACATAGGCATTAAACAAGAAATCACTGTGATCTCCATACAAGTCCATGCAATCTTCATACACGGGCAATCTGTTTGTGTTTCTAACTTGACTACTCAATTACTTGAAAGAAAAGGTCTTTCTTCACTAAAAATGAAAATTAATAGACAGTAGAAACTAGATGATTTAGAAAATTATTAGATTTGGGAGAATACAGCAAAACTTGCATATGCAGTAGATTGTAACAAATTTTGCTGCACTTCAGTACAAACATCCTTATGTTTGCTATTGCTTCATTTCATTTTCATTACTAAACTATTGATAACTTGAATGGCCAACAATTCTGCTAATATCTCCAAAGGAGAAATAAGTAGATATATCAAGGTAAGATGTGCTGCAAAGAGCAGACTTAAAAAATGTGGTACAAATAATTTATCTTATTATTATACAAGTTTACTCCTGATGTTCTCTGCATAAGTTCTATTTATTTATTTATTTCCTCTTTTTCTGTAACTCAAAGTGCCTTAGATTAGCAACCATGCATGTTTATAATGGTTGTTAATCATTCTTCCATCCTAGTGTGGATCATTTTTCAATTTTCTTTGCGTTTGCTCATCAATTTCCCCTCAATTATAGGTACTTAACGAGGACAACAGGTACATGTCATTGCCTTTAGATTCTGAAAAGGTGTCTAAGTACACTTCATATAATCTAAGCAGCATGAATACTATCTTTTTAATTATCATCATTGGAACACAAAAACACTTTCCGAAAGGCTCTGTTTATTTTAATGAGCCCTAGAGCAGTCAACAAATATGTGCTGAAAATAGATACAAGCGGTGATCAAAGTATGCTAGCATACTTCTATTGCAGAAAAGATTTTATGTCTTTAGAGCACTAAAATATCGGCCCTTGAATATGTTAAGGATAGAGGGGAACTGCTCATTAGACATTTGGTGTATTTAATTTTCTTTCCAAGTGTAAATATATATGCCTCTAGAATATATCAAAAAAAGTAATGTTTGTGGGTTGTGAACAGTAATGAAAGGGAGATTTACAGCGAACTGAGGCAAATATAAGCAACACACTCATGAGGCGTAAGCTTGAATAGCCGTATTGGATAATTAACTACTGTTGATATTATCTCTGTAAGTTTATACCCATGCTTCTTCCAAGTCATTCGTGCCTGTACTGCAGTTCTCTAGTGAAAGTCAAGAGGCCTCTTTAGAGAGCGGCTTCATTACATGTTACAGGAAGAAGATA